ACTGAAAAAAGTGGGGGAAAATGTGGACACACACAGAACACTATTTAACTATAAAAGGATTAAAGTATGTCATTTGTGTCAACATGCATGAAACTGGTCATCATTGTGTTAAGTGAAATAAGGCAAAGCACAGAAGGACAAGTATTGCATACTTCTGTTCATATGTGGAAATCTAAAGTTAGTAGATCTTATAAAAATTGAAGATAGAATAGCAATTGTCAGAGGCTCCGGGAAACTTGAAGGGGAGAAGGCATAAGGACAGTTTGACCAACAGGTACTAAGACACAGTTAGGAGAAAGGAGCCCAGCATCCCAATGCCCAGCTTGATGACCACAGGTCATGATAATGAGATATTATGTATTTCAGGAAGGAAATTTTAAGTGTTTCAGCATTTAAAAAATTATAAGTGTTTGCAGATATTGTAGGCTTATCTTGATTGAACATTATATAATCTGTCCATGTAGCAAAACATACACCATAGGGGACACCATAAATATGTACAATCTTCATTTGTCAGTGGATATTTTTAAGTCAGTGGATATTTTTAATTCAATAAAAAAGTAAAGACAGATATACACAGAAAGAAGTATCTGCATTGGCAAGAAGACAATATTATTATGATGTCAATACTATTTAAAGAAATCTATGTGTTCAAGGCAATCCCTATCAACACCCTTTACACAAAATAGAAAAGAGCAGTTCTTAAGTTCATATGTAATTACAAGGGCCCCTCAAAACAGCAGCCATCTTTAAAAAGATGAGTAAAGGCAGAAGACTGACACCACCTCAACATCAACTAAAAGCTACAGTCACTAGTACAGTATTGTACTGACATAGAGATAGGCTGGCCAGCACAGCAGAATGAACAGCCAGAAATAAACCCTCACACATATATTCAATTTATTTTCGAGAGGTGTCACAACCATTACAAGGAAGAGGGTAGCATTTTCAACAAATGGTGTAAGAAAAACTGAAAACAAGAAAGAAGATACCATAAAAGAGGGAGACATTATAGGTTTACAGAGAAATCAGGCACTAGGGAAAGGTCTGGAGATCTACAAAGATGACACCAACTAACAATCTAAGCAACAGAGGAGAGGCTACCTTAAATGCCCTCCCCTGATGATGAGATTGATGACTGTCTTATATGCCATCTTATAGCCTTCATCCAGCAGCTGGTGTAAGTAGAAGCCAACACCTACAACTAATCAATGAACTGAACTGGAATCCAATTGCAGAGAAAAATGAGTGATGGGCAAAGGGGTCCAGACCAGGCTGGTGAAACCCACAGAAACAGCTGACCTGAACAACAGGGAGCTCTTGGCCCCCAGACTGATAGCTGGGATACCAGCATGGGACTGAACCAGACTCCAAGAACGTGGGTTTCAGTAAGGAGACCTAGGAAATCTACAGAACCTCCTGTAGTAGTTCAGTATTTATCCCTAGCATGGGTGTGGACTTTGGGAGCCCAATCCACATACAGGGATACTCCCTGAGCCAAGACACACGGGGGTGGGCCTAGGCCCTATCCCAAAGGAAATGATAGACTCTAATGACCCCCTATAGAAGGCCTCACCCTCCCCTGGGGAGCAGAAAGGATATGTGATAGGTAGGGTATTAGTTGCCAGGGGTGGTATGGGAGGAGAGGAGGGAGTGGGAACTGGTATTGACATGTAAAACAATCTTGTTTCTAATTCAAATTAAAAAAAAAAGGAAAAAATAAAAAAAGAAGAAAAAATGGTTACCCATCTGCAAATCATATGGATATCCAATTTGTATATTTTGTGTATGGCTTTCTCTTACACAGCAGTCATATATTAAGCTTTAGCTACTAGAATAAGGAGTATGTGGAGGATCGAGGTGCAAAAACATATCCTGCTCTTAGGATCTCGAGGAAAAGTCAAGGGTTCTGGTCAGACATAATGGTTTTAAAATCCAACCACAAAAGAGAGTGGGATCAGCTGCTTCATCCTTGGAATACAGAGCATACCAGACATGATCTTATTTTTCAGGCAAGCCAACCCTGTTCTTATGGCAACTGTGACAAGGTTTTCTCCTTTGATTTCAAGCATCCATGCTTGTTTGTTTACTGTCTCCCTGATTGTTACATTTAGGTCTTACAATTTGAATAAGCAGAACAGCTAGTGTCTGGGGCTTATGTTCTGGGCCCTAGTGTATCCCTATCTAGAAAGATGCCTCTAATTATAGGACCAAATAAGAATAAAAAATAAGAGGTTAGAACATAGTAAAGCTACAAAAGCCAATCTGAGGGATGCCCCCTGAAGACGCCTTCTGTACCGCATCCTGGCAGCACGCCTCCTCAGCTACTTGAAGGTGGAAGATCTCATAGATGGTACCCTACAGTGACCATACATGTCAGATCACTTGGAGGGGAGTAAAGGCTCAGAGCCCTAAATTTGTCCTTGATGATATTCTAACATAGTATCCGAAATGGTCAACTTCAACAAGCAGTCAGTGACACACCAAAACGGTTCTTGCTTCTGGCAACCAGGACAGTGTTCAATCAAGTGAATCAGTTTACTCAGTTCACAGACACCAGGAAAATATGGCTGTTCCAAGAGAAGTGGAGGAAGCAAAAAGAACAGTTTTGATGTTCCATTTCAGAAAGACCGAGGAAGCACTTGTTCCTCTTCTCACTTAGGAGGCCCAGATATGAATATATGCCACTGTCTTCAGGCTTATGTATCTCTCTCCAAATCTAGGAGTTGCTCATGTACATTTCAACTGAAATGACTATGATTCAGTTTGGGACAAAATGTTTGCTTGTCCAGACTCCAGGCCAATAGTGTTCTCCCCAACTCTTATGATGACCAAGACTGCATGGTTTAGTTTCATAAATCTGTAAATTCTCTACTCATAGCTTAAATGTGTTTAATCAATTTCAAACATAGCTTTTATTTATAATAAAGCTTAGACTAACCAAAGTACTAAAGGACTTAAAATTCATATTAAATCATTCAATATAAGATTGGGGTTAATAGAAAATACCTTGAGACAACAGCTTGCCTGTGACTGAGAATCTTCCTACAAACCTGCCCCCATTGTGTTGATCTCAGCAAGGTTAGCCAGCCTAACCAAACACAGCTTTGCTATGCAAGGGCACACCTCTGGGTTTAGGAAAAGTCACTAAGTCCTATACAAAATTGTTCCTGTCCATATATGATACAGCCTCATCAATACCTGTGAGAGAGAAACAACCTCAATTCACTGAACACATAGCCATATCTGCCCACTAAGAAATGACACCATTGCTGTAATAAAATTAGGCACCATACAGTAAGATGTCTACAGAGGCAAAGAACAAGGCCCACATGTGTTTTTAAGCTGCAAAGAATGTTAGTGGTAAGAATATTAAACCAACAGACAATATCTGTATATAGTTTAACTGAAAGGATTCCCAAGGGGTCCCAGATCTGAATCAAGATGAAACAATAAACTTAGTTTACAACAATGATCCAAATAAAGTTGCCATAAAGAACTAACTCAGAGAAAGAGCACTGATGGACATACGCTCTCTTATATAGAATGTAGAGACCAACTTTATAGGGAGGGGTAACTTGCTGTGAGAATTATGTTGTAGGAAATTGAATGTTTAACAATCTGAATTACATAATTTCTTCCACTCAGATTTCTAGAAACCTCATGGGAATGCAGGCCCAAGAAGCCCTAATCTAAATGTGAAAACCAGCAGTACCTCAAATTTTGGAATATTTGCATAGATTTACTGATGAAGAAAAAAGTTAATACAAAATGTTTTAAAAGTCAGAACTTTTGAATTTCACTGTACACTTACCATTTCCTATTTCAGAGCACTTACTTTTTTTTTCCTGATCTGAGATGCCCACCCTTGACTCATTTGTGTTTGAAGACTTTTTAATCAGTCCTTCAATGGACCAGTCTCTCAGCACCAGTACTCCTCAGATCGCCTGAGCCTCCCCCAGACCACTTCCTCACAGGGAAGGGAGTTCTCTACCGAACACAAGGAAGGTATCCATGGTCAGAGCTTCTGGGCTGTTTCATCAGCTCCTTTAGGATCTCAGTGAGGTGGTTTACATCTGTGGCTTAAGCGTATTAAAATGCCTTTGTTCATGTTCGAAGTCATATATGCAAAGAAACTGCTGCCCTCAGATTGGCTGCACCCTGACTTGGTGGTTCATATAATCGGGTTAATATGTTAAAAAGAACTTGACACAGAAATTATTAATGAGCAGAACAAGGTCACTACTTCTGAGCTGGGGTCACTTACAAAGAACGCACAAATGAAATTGAGGTTGACTTCTGTGTACTTGGCTATTTTCTTACATCGGATTCCTTTGGCAACCTATCTTTAAACATTTAAAGCCATGTTTACAAGGAGGCTCTGAAAGAGCTTCAAACCATTATGCCCCTAATTGAATTCCCCAGGAGTCCAGTAAACTCAGAGGAAAAAAGAAAAATCATAACATTTGCTAAATCATCTCAAAGCATATTTCACTACAAGGTTATGTGACCTGCTTTATTTTTTTTGAGGTTCAAGGATGAATGAAGAATATTACTGAATGCTTCATTATTTAGACTAAAATAAAAAAGAACTTTACCTATTAGTGGTGAGCTAATTAAATCAGCAGTTTTAACTTTTTTTTCTAAGAGAAATCTTACAAAAAACAACAGCAGCATTTTTTACTGTATGTGACCAGTTTCCTGGTGTGTGAAAGCCTAACAGTGAAGGTGTGTGTGTGTGTGTGTGTGTGTGTGAGAGAGAGAGAGAGAGAGAGAAAGAGAGAGAGAGGAACAACAACAAACTCAAATGGGAGAAGAGAAAGTAAAAGTTCTAGAGACCAGTTAGTTATTACAATGCCCTGTCTCCCCAGCTCTGGTATTACTTTAAAATCAGCTTTTTTGGTGTTTTTATCCATAGCACCCTTGTCTGCTCCTATGTGGTGTTGTGACTACTGGGCCCAAGCATTACCAAAACAGTGCTGCAGCGACTTGCCACTTACCTGGTTTGTATGTTATTCCAGGGGGGAAGAGGAATCCCTGTTGGGCGGCAGCAGCTGCTGCCAGGGTCCGCTGGTCATGTGGAAAAATTGGGATCATGAGCGGAGGCATGTGCCCCTGAACCTGCTAAACAGAAGAGAGCCTGTGATCAGACAGGGAGCAGATGTCGCCAAGAAGCATTTGTTTTCCGCTGCTGAGGGTGCTCTGGTGCCCACACAGCCACCCACCCCTAACCTCATTCCAGATCTGAAGCTGAGAGAATTCAGGCAAACTTCACCTAACCCCTCTCCTTAGAACATCGGTGCTATCGTTTCACCATAGACCGACCACATCTCTGCTTCCACCACAAGGTGGTTAATGGCCTTCTGTCTTGACTTGTTTTCCTCACCTTCTTTCTTGAAAGAAAGAACAGGAAAACTGTTCTCTAGAGGTTTTAGAGGTTTTACCCTTTCCCCTGCACTACATTCTAAGCATCATTGTGGAAAAGTATGCAGTGTCCTTGTCCAGAAAGGAATATCTAATTGTTATATATTCCAGAAGCTGTGTCTCCCTCCTTGAGGAGCTTCTTCCAAAGCCTCACTGCATTATATTAAACACACAGAGCTTCAGATTTAAGGCTACTATATCTTGGCGCCCAATTAAACTAATATCCTTTGCCATACACACCTCGATGTAACATATAAATTGCTTGTCAGCTTTATGCACTGCCATGTAGCTCAGTAATTATGGAGTTGTATCCACTGAGCAACTCATAATAAATCCTACTATATCAGATTTCATTTGACCTCAATAAACGTATCAAAGACCACAAAAATGCAAAAGAGAAAAATATTCACTCTACATCAGTATTTGTACTCCATATAAAGGAAATCAGAGCTATGACAGAATCATGCTCCTGAAAATCACATTTTAATTTCCTAGCTCCTTTCTTCACTCTAGCATGCTGCCCTGGTTTCAGCACAGCAGAGCGGGAAGGCTTTGTCCTGACTTTTAGGGCCCAATTCCACAGGCTGAGCTATGGGACTTTCCTCATTTAAAGATCAGAACAGAAATGTGCTTTTTACTAGAATGAAAGGGCTACATTATACACTATTTAATATAGAAATGTTTGCCAGAAATTCTACAAACCCCCAATGCTTCCTCTGTCTAAATTCCTCAATCTCTTCTTTAGGAAAAATACCATATATGACCTGATGTCCCTGACTAAAAGGTAACAGTTTGCCTTCTCTTGGCCCTGGCCCTTCATAGCCAGGGACATGGGGCAAATGCTTCTGTGTGGGTCTGAGAGGTTTCATTTGCCAACAGTCTTTCTCTGGGGAATGCCCTAAGATGTGGGTTAATAAAGGGCAAGGAAAAAATAAACACTTTACAGTATTTTTCTGAATTCATTTCTCAGGAAAATCAACTTATAATAAAAAGGTCTTTGTGCAATTACTACCTTGCCAGTGGGGCGTGAAAAAAAACTAGCTTTGAGCAGCTATTTCTTCTATTTTAGCTGAGGTAAGCCCAAGCTTTGTACATGGGAGAACAAACTTAGCCTGCTTAAATTGATGCTGAGCCTTTAGTGCCCATGTCTCACCTTTAGCCTGGGAGAAAAATCACTACTTTTCTGTGACCCTGTGCACATGTTCAATGTCCAATATGAAAGTGGCATGTTTCATGCCAGAAAACAAAGGACAATGTCCTTATGAGTGACTACTGCTCATCAAAGGACATCCTTTCATGTTCCTCTAGAAATGTGGTTCTAACATGTGCTTGGAGCACCATGCAGATGCTTTACCCTGAAGAGGCAGTAACATGTTGTTTCTTTTTTCTTTCTTTCTTTCTTTTTTCACCTAGCAATGAAAGAAGTTGCTCCTGTGTGTAAGGGATTTGAGAAGCAGCTGAAGAAATCATCTCTACTCAGAGAGAGGAGGGGGGAGAGAGGATAACATGTTATCTTCTACTATTAAGAAGATAGTGTCAATGGAGTACCACAAATAGGACATCTATAACACCCCACCTTCCCAAGTTTCAGAGAGCGGGAAGATTCTAAGAGGTAGGGGTTAGAGAGAATGGGAGAAAAATAGTGTGTTCAGGATGTGACAGGATTGCTGCACTCATGGACTCCCAACAGCTGTGGCTGCCTGCACAAGATGAAGCCAGTCAACATTCTAGCATGGAAGGGGACTTGATGAGCCTTTACCTCTCACTAAGGAGCTATGGACAGTTGATAGCTTCTGGGACACAGAAAGTCAGTTTTCTTTAAGGATGTGGCTCCTGCAGGTTGACCATGCTCCAAGTAATGGTCTCACACTGAGGAGAATATGAGTAGTACAAATTGTACTAGATGAGTTATTTTAAAAGTGATGGGGCGGGGAGAGGCTGCAGAGAGGGTTCAGCAGTTAAGGGCACCTGCTGTTCTCGTAGAAGACAAAGTTTGGTTCCTAGCACCTTCATGGAGTCTTGCAACCATCTGTTACCACAGTTACAGGGGACCCAATCCCTTTTCTAGTCTCAATGGGCACAAGGCATACATGTGGCACACATACATATATTCAGGCAAAATATTCATAAAAATAAAATAAATTGTCTTTTTTATATACAGAAGGCATAGAGAGGTAGAGCTAGATCTGGCAGGAACTGAGGGAAGAGCGGAAAAGCAGGGTGAACATGACCAAAATTCATTATGCTAAAAGAATTAAAAACATATTCTTTAAAAAAGATAGTGTGATACATTTCCTTCATTTATTCAACATATATTTATTGACAACTTACAATGCCTTTGTTAGTGAACAAGCCCAAGTTCAAGTCTGTACTCCACATTTCCTAAGCCGTGTGGTCCTGAAAGACTTAACTCTCCTAACCCTATTTGTACAAGCTGTGAAGGCTGGGCACTTTACACAGTCACTGTGAGGATATGACAGACAACCAAAGCTAAGGCTGAAGCAGTTGACAAGGGCCAAACCTTAGCTCTTGACTATGATTGCCCATCAGAGAATACTGCTTTTAGCTAAGGCTGAAGCATCCTGCCAAACCTTAGCTCTTGACTATGATTGCCCATCAGAGAATACTGCTTTTGAAGTGCTTAAAATGGATGTGGTTGTTTTCATTTTTTAAATTATATATATGATGTTTATTTTTATGGTGTCTGTAGTGTGAATGTATATGTTCATGTGTGTGAATGCTGTGTGTCTGGATAATTGCACCTATGGAGGTCAGAGGACAACCTTGGGTGTTAGTCCTCAACTTTCACCTTGCTTGAGACCATCTTTGTTGTTAATCACTGCAAATGTGAAGATAGCTGGACCGCAAGCTTCCAGAGAATCTCCTGTCTCTGCCTGGCAGCAGCTCTTCCTAAGAGTACTACCACACCCAGCTTTATGTAAGTTCTGGGAATTCTAACTCAGATTTGCACAACAAATGCTTTACTCACTGAGCCATCTCTCCAGTCCCTGGAGAGATGCTAAATAACATAAGTGTAGGTGTTTCATATTAACACATTCTGTAAGAATTTGGGGTCATTCTTTTCTATTATACTCTGCAAATTAAGTTTAAAAAATAAAACCTTATTGACAACTATTATCCAAAGGCTGTTTCAGTAAAGAGGAGGGAACAGAGACAGTGTGAGAGCAGTAGTGCTAACAGAACCAGAGTTGGACTGAAGCTCATTGAAGACTTAGGCTGGTAGTTGGTAAAGTGCAGTTGGCAAAGTGCAGTGTCTGGCCAACAGCATCCAGCTGCATTTTCAAAGAGCAAATTCTCTGGGTCCACAGCACATCTTGACAAGGTGATGTGTTTACTCTGTCTCTTTTGATCCGCAAAAGCCCATGAGGCACTCACTTTATTCTTATTTACTAAATGAGAAAGACAAAGCTGGATAAAGTTAACATCAACTAAAGAGTGGTATGCCCAGGATCCAAGTTCAGATCAAGATCTAAGTTTGTGCTTGTCAAGGCTAAAGCTTCTACTATGAATTACCATGGTATATTAAGCATGAAGTTGTTGTGTTTTACAAAGCAGATCTAAATGGCATCAGGAATGCAGTTCTTTGTTATAAGAAAGAACTGACAGTTTTCTAGACAAAGTTGTAGGTTTCCACTCACTTGTAATGGACAATACAGTGAGATCATAGGTAGCCTTTATCTAGCATCCTTCAGTGGGAAGATGCTAGAATTTATAATATGATAGCACAAGGAGACTGACAGCATCCTCACAACCGCCTAGATTTGCCCAGTGTGTTGAAAACATTACATCTTAAAAGATTAGAAAGGGTAATAAAGTCCATTGATACTTCTCTCATCATCTACAGCTTGCTTATTAGCAGATTCTCCATGTGTACACTATGGTCTCTTGAACATGAGAACAAATGGACTGTGTTTTTGGGTGGCTACACCAAAAAGAAAACACCCCACACATGTAGCAGATGAAATAGTTTCTTCTTCTACAGGCTGTGAACTAAGTACCGCTCCTAGTACCAGTGGCTAGGGCAGATGAAGCATTATGAAGACACATAAAAGTTCTATGTATTCTGAAAAGTTCAATTCATCCTGACTTCTCTCCCTCTTCCCATATCCCACTCATTCACCCATGTGGTGACATGCTGGGAAGGGTAGTCATGTGGGAGAAGGCAACTTCCCAAAGAATTTTACTAAAAAATAAAAGTCATCAAATTCCCCACACTCCATCAAAGAGTGACCAGTCTCCACATGTCTCATCATGTGGACATATCAAAATTTCAGATAGCATCTTTCTTTCTTGAAACTGTAACTTTTTGTGCATATATTGAGATATTCTTTAATTATTCTATAGATAAAGAGAAGAAAATGATTTTATTAGTACAAAGAATAAAGCTTGATGTAGCCAAAATAAATCTCAGCATGAAAACGACATTATTTTTACTGCTTTGGAAGAAAGCACTAATTGGCAGGGTATTGAGTGAGTTAATGAGAAAGAAAGATCTCATCACAGGGCAAGCTTAGTGCATCCTGGAAGAACAAACGACCCCCAAGCACAACTGTGTCCCTGTCCTACCCTTCTGAACCCATGACCAATGCTTTTCCCTTTTATAGAGGGTGGGGAAAACATTCTCCATCCAACAGCCCGAATGCCTAGACATTTTAATTGGTAGGGTGTTCCTCAAA